AAAAATAATTGAATACTTTTCGCAAAAACTTTAAAAATCGATAAAAATATGAAATATAGATATTAAAGAGACTTTTTATATAATATTCATAAAGATTTTCCAAAAATATGATACCGCAAAATTAAAAAAGTGACGTCTTGAGTGGAGTCAAAGGTCGAAATTGCTAGCTAAATGTTTTTTTAGCGAAATTGCGTATTGTACGTTTTTTTCGCAAAACGAAACCCTTATGTGAAAAGAAAAAGAATTCTATAAATCATTGATAAATATGAAAAGAAAGAGAATTCTATAAAACAATGATAAATATGAAAATAGAGATAATGTAATAAAACAATGATAAATGTGAAAAGAAAGAAAATTTCATAAAACAATCATAAATATGAAAAGAAATATAATGTCATAAAACAATGATAAATGTGAAAAGAAAAAGAATTCTATAAATCATTGATGAATATGAAAAGAAAGAGAATAAGTTTCATGTTAACATCAGAACCGTGCTCAACTAAGAATTTGACAATTTCTATTGAATTCGCTTTGATTGCAATGCTAAGAGGGCATTCAATAATATCGAGAAAATTTCATAAAACATTGATAAATATGAAAAGAAAAAGAATTCTATAAATCAATGATTAATATGAAAAGAACGAAAATTTCATAAAACAATGATAAATATGAAAATAGAGATAATGTCATAAAACAATGATAAATGTGAAAGGAAATAGAATTTGATAAAACAATGATCAACATGAAAAGAAATAGAATTTGATATAAATATGATTAATATGAAAAGAAAAAGAATTTTATAAAACAATGATAAATATGAAAAAAGTAGAATTAGATAAAACAATGAAAAATATGAAAAGAAATAGAATTAGATAAAACAGTGATAAATATGAAAAGAAAGAGAATTTCATAAAGCAACGATTAAAACAAAAAGAAAGAGAATTCTATAAAGCAATGATAAATATGAAAAGAAATGGAATTTTATTAAACAATGATCAACATGAAAAGAAAAAAAATTACATAAAACAATGATCAACATGAAAAGAAAAAGAATTTCATAAAACAATGATTAATATGAAAAGAAAGAGAATTAAATAAAACGATGATAAATATGAGTAGAAATAGAATTATATAAAACAATGATAATAATGAAAATAAAAAGATTATAAAGTTTGTTAATATCTTCTCCATTAGCAATTAAATAAGATGCAACATCATAATTTCCGAAATGCATACATTCGGTTATTGAATTAGGAAATTGTCCTAAATTTGATTTAAGGTACTCAACAATTTCATAGTTTCGATAATTCAATGCTGTATTAATCATGTCACCAAATGATTTACCTTCTTCTATCATTTGCATAAAAATGCTATTATTTCCGCCTTGAACAGCATATTTTTCAGAGTTATCAGTGTATTCAGCTCCTAAATTTTTCAAGTAATTGAAACACAATTCTGATCCGTATTTAATTGCGCAGTCAAGTGGTGTGATATCTTTAATTCTTTTATTGATATCAAGATTTGGGAATTTAGATTTAAGTTCATCAACTTTATCCAATAAAATATAGTATAATGGAGATTCTATTGAATATTCAAATTCGAAACAATCGCAATATAATAACATTGCTAATTTCTCGTTTTCTGGTTTGATGATACATGAGAATTCGTTTAATATCTTTTTGTAAAGTTCTGCTAATAATTTAATATCTTTAACATGAATTCGTGAAATAACATCAATCAAATAAAGTGACATTTGGATAGATATTTTTTTGTTTGTAATGAATTCTATAATTTGCGAAGATACTTGTAAAATATTATTGGAATTGACACTCCAAATCATTTTTGATGCTTGATTAGGGTATTCAAATACTTCAAATGGCTTAATGCTACCAAAATCACATCCAATTTCATTTTTAGATTGCGTAGAGTTTAACATGCTTTCCAAAAGTTTTGGTTGTGTTGCTTTTTGTGGAAAAAAGTGACAATAATACTACATCACCGCCCTAATTATTTATTTACCCCCTAATTTTTCTTCTAGAGATCTTTTTTAGATTCTGATCAATATATGTTATGTTTAAGGCTTCTCTCCAAGTGAAGTGATCCTCTCAATTTTTAGCATCTTCGAGACCTCTGAGGTACCTAAAAAGCTGGTTTTTACACTTGAAAATGTAATAGACATCATATATGATACATATATTTATTATATATCCGTTTTATTTTGAATAAAAGTCTTTTTTTAGGGAAGTTGAAATTATCTTGCATTTTCCGGAAAAATCGATTTTTAGCAACTTTCGATATTTCAATTCAATGGTCTATAGGCTCTACAATTTCTATATTCCCATTTCATGATTTTGATATTTCTCGGTCAGAATTGCAATTCCAACCATGAAAAAAAGAACTTCATTTTTTAACAAATATAAGAAGCTTATAACATATCAAAAGTATTTATCATTTTATTTTTGTCCAACATTGAGTTTTAAAATTTGCTAGCTGACCTTCCCCGTGGACTCCAACCCAATGTGAAGTGACTTTTTTTGCAAAATAATAATAAAAATGAAATGCTCATATATTGACAATGTCGAAACAAATATTATCTCAAAATCCTGATTTTGAATTTACAATAATCAAAACTAAAAATGGATTTCGATCCAAACAAGTTTTCTAAAAATGAACTACTAGATATAATCTATATTCTATAAACTCAACGACTGTATATCTTTCAAATTAAATCCATTGAATAAACTTTAGCATAGAACGTACACAACACGTAAGAGAGAAATGATTTATTTCATGAATCAAATACTTTTCAATAGGAATGTATAATGTTTTGTTTACTCATTTTGATATATTTTTTCAAAATACTGTAAGTTTAGCTGTTTATGTGCAAGATATGTTTCTGCAAGTAGTGATAAAGAAATTGAATATAGTTTTTATTCGTGATTTGCCTAAGTTTAATAAATTATAATATAAGAATAACTGGTGCTAATAACATAGTGTGCAAATGGTGTAAATTTTGATAATATGTCATTTACATCTGTTTGCGAAAAGCAATTTGCATGAATGATGAAATCAAATATACGAATTTGAGTATTTCGATGTTTTTTGAAGTGCAGATAGCAGTTGATAGACAACTAAAACGATCTAAAGGTGTTGGGATTTTCCAAATTTTTCATGTTTTAGAAAAAATGCAATTAAAGTTATAGAATTTGTAAACGTATTTTAAAACATCAATATTTTTTGGAAAAAATAGAAGTTAAAATCTTTTTGCAGACTTACTACGACTTTATTTTTAAATTCTATCACTGCAATATAACAAAATTTTATGTCTTATAATAGGTTTATATTGTAAGTTTGTCGAAATTTCTATTATTCAATAATAGGTATTTCTTATTCGAAATTTGACTGAAAAAAAATATGTTCATAATAGCTTAACTTAGAGGTTAATGCATAAAATATTCTAGTATCTTTATTTCTTCAAGTTATCAAATTTAATTTTAGCTCATTTCTTAAAACACTCAATCACTTTTATCCAGAATAGTAAACATTCAAAAATTAGTATAAATGATGATAAATTTAGATGTTTATTTGTATTACAGCTGGAATTTGATTTAATTTTTGGTGTATATGCGAGAGGTAAGCAAGTCATGTTAGAGTTCCCCTTTTTTATAACACGTTTTTATCCTTTATATTTGACAGTTTTCGTTTTGATCTCCAATAATATTTTATTAAAATAATTTTTCTTCTATTTCCTGTGTATAGTACCTTTACGATAAATTAAAAGTATTGGCCGTCTCATTTTTCTTTTAAAACAATTTTGAAATTTTTGCTGGATCAACTTGAGTGTGGACTCCGAGCCATGTGAAGTGACTTTTTTTGGATTTCTTTAACGATAATGGAATCTATATATTACAGCGATATTAAAATAAATACTATTTTTTATAATGATATCCAAAGTTCAATATTCAGATTAATGCTTCATATTTTCAATCAATTCATGTAATATTCTATATAAACACAATTTAGAATTATATATATTATCACGCTGCAATATAATTTTCATTGTATGAAAAAAATTATAAGATATGAGAACAATTAATTATATTTTGATGGGCAGAACTTATTGACTTGGGAATTATTCAGCATACCAAGGCTGTCAACACTAAAAATATTCAAAAATCTCAAAGTTAAGTAAAAAAACAAATATCATTGTCATTAATCTCATATTTCCTATTCCAAATATTTACATTTTCTTAATACTTAACTTAAATAAACGTTTATAGGTCCAGATTAATAGGATATAATAATTTTGTAAATTTTTTGATTATTCTTGCTAGATTTGTCTTTAAGAGTATATTAATCGAGATAAACTAACAGTACATATTATAATATCGTAAGAAGATTACAGGTATATCGCATAAATTTTCGTAATTGAGAATTGATTGCGAAGAAAAAATTAGAATCTGGCATTGAAATTAAGGATTTATTGTGTCCTTGGGAGGGTGATTCGAATGAGCTCAAGTTGTATTTTTTCAAAAAAATTTTGTTCTCGAGATGAAAAAATCATTCGCTCGCGAGAAAATGTGAAGTCAAACGACGATACAGCTGTTTGGCCGGAGAGAAGCCTTAAGGGTGCCCAGGCGACAATATGTAAACTACTCAAAATTAACCTTAAACATGTTGCAATGTATGGAATGAAAAGTTTCGAAGCATCCAATATATTAACCTTAAAAGTGCTTTTCTGAGGGTGACTTATCGTTTCCCCGCACCCTTAGGTTTATTCATAAAAATATCAATTCTATCATATATGTATTCCTCCAAAGTTCTTTCAATTTCATAGAAAATAATGTGAATGCTTGTAATGTTCCGTATATAGTATTTGGAAACACCAATTATGCCCAATGGCATCCAAATAGCATACCAATCATATAATTTCATTCCGACAAAATGATTAAAAAATTAATTTGAAATTAAGAAGAAAAAACAACAACAACAACAATTTTTTAGTGAGGAAGACTTAAGCGTCTTTTCTTTCCAGAAGCTGCACGAGGAAGCATTGCTCCACTGTATTCATTCGCTCTACAGTGAGTTCTAGATAAAACTAAACTTGCGGTACTAGCAAAACTCTTATCCGAATAAATCGGAAGAGAAAGTTGTGAAGTAATCCCTGAAGCGCGTTTAGACATTCGAGGTAATTCTGTTTTTTCTCGGTCAGGAGTTCGAATTGGACGAGCGCAAATTGAGCTACCTGCTGATAGTAATGACTTCGAGTTAGCCATTATAACGTGGGAGTCTGTTGTAGAAACAAATATGGCGGTTTGTCTGAAAATATATTTAATTGGAGGGAAAACATGAGGAGTGAGGACAGACCCGTTATTAGTAACATGTAAAACGCCTGATTTGTTGTTTCCGTAATTACAATAATTGGAAGCGCCGAAAACAGTTATTGAATTTCCGTCAAGCATCTTTTTAATACCTCCTTCGCATGGTTCATGGCCTCGGACAAGCTTTTCTAAGTTTTGAGAAGTTAAAAATTGAACTAAAGCTTTCTTTCCGAAAAAGTATCCAACTCCACGAGTTGAAGGTATAAATCCATCATCTACGTCTTCTTTTGGATCACTCCATACAGCGCTGATGACTGGATCAAAGTCGTAATTAATTAAAGGACGTCCGACGTTTTCAAGCTGAGAAATACTTGTAAAACCCGCGCCAATGCCGCCATGGACACATAAGATCTTGTTGAAAACAACGGCGGCTAATGGCATATATGCAAATGCGTTAGCAAAACTGAAAGTTACTGTAGAATTATGATATGTTTCTTCAACTTGGTTTGCAAATCCATCGTATTGGAACATAGCGAGGAATTCATGATTACCACGAACAATATGAACATGCTTCGGGTACATAGCTTTAAGAACGAAAACAAGGGTTATAGTTTCTATGCTAAACTCACCTCTGTCAACTAAATCACCGAGAAAAATATAGTGTATTGTTGGCGGTAAACCGAATTTTCTTAAAACTCTAAATAAATCAAGGATATGACCATGCAAATCTCCTAATATAACACAATTTTCGTTAATTCTGAGCACTACTGGTTCTTGTTCAAACAATTCTTTTACTCCTCTACATAGATCAATTAAAAATTCGATTGGCGGCTGCGGAAGAACTAGACGAGAACTTCCAATCTCGTACATTGTTACATCAATTGCCCATAAATCTTGATATTTATGTAATAACTGTTGAATCTGTTGCATCTTTGGTTGAGGAAAATTCATTTATCAAATTTAGTAAAAGTTTACAAAATTAAAATCTTTAAAGATTTCCATTATTTTGGATGAGCACAACGAATACTTTTAAATTATTTTTATCACTTGAAATTTTGTTCGTTGTGGTGATCAAAAAAATTTGACAAAAATATAATAATCGTATACAATCATAATCAAGATAAAATTAAATCTGAAATCCAAGTTGCTGTTGGTTTGTCATTTGAGGTAGGAAGATTGAGCAGTTTATTGAGAGTGAAATCATATCTTTTCAAGCCGATTAAAGCTAATCCAGTATTATTCAAACACTCCCGATGATAATACTTTTCTTATTTGTTATTGTGCTTTCACTATAAAAAAATTTTGAATTAATTCTGTTATATGCGTTTATTGGGCTTTAAATCTAGATATCATTTGTATATCATATGCTTAGATCGATAATACATCAGTAGGCAAATGTTATACATTTTCAAATTGAATTGAAATGGTTTTATAAATAACGAATGCTCACTGTACTTTGATTAAAAACAGGAAGCTTAGAAAGAAAAAGTAAAGAAAGGAAACAACGAAAACTAGCTTCATTGAAATAATATAAGATAACTAGCCTTGTTAGGTGATAAAAGTATAGCTTCATTATGTATATGGCTATCATATCAGATATTACAATTACTTTGACCGAAAATATAAACAATTTAGTAATTTGAGTCTAAATCTAAATCTGCGGGTTGTAATTCTTATGTTAACTTCCTATCAATCTCTACTCATCAAACTAGCTCATTATTGTTGCATTACTCAAGTCAATACAATATGTTTGTTGTTTTGGCGCCAAATAAAAATTGACATTTCCCGTTTACTAAAAATATTCTGAAAAAAGTGACGAAAAGTACAAAATGAGTAAACCGTCTCCAAACTCACCCTCAAATCAAGAGGGATCATTTGGAAGCGGTCGTTCATCCGGAGCTTCTCCAAGCTCTGGAAAAAATTCATCATTTAATGCATCAAATTCCGATTTAAGCATGACTGAAAACGATTTCCAGATTAGGCTTCAAATATTGCAAAAGAAACATGAAAAAGAAATTGCTGCATTAACAAATGACTTAAATCTTTCAAGAGAAGAAAACATTGAAAAATCAACAAAAATCCATCAACTAGAGAATGAAAGAGATTCAAAAATTCAAGAACAGCAGCGCATAAATTCCGAGCTTGCTCGTAAAAACATACAGCTTTCGACGCAAATTGAATCTTTTCTTGCAATGCTTTCTTCAAAGACCGGAGAAGACATCCAGTCTCTTAAAGATGCATCACTTGTTATTAGCAACATAATTGCTCAATCCGGTTCAACAAGTGATTCCCTTGCAAGCATCCAACAGGTAAATAGCGAAATGGGCGAAACTCTTGCCGCATTTCAAGCCAAATTACAAGAACTCAAGAGCGAAAATAAGGCATTACGCGCTTCTCTTAAGAAAGCTTCCTCTCAATTAGATCTTGCTCAAGGAAATGAAGATATAATTCAACCATATACCCAAAAGATCGAAGAATTACAGCGCAAAGCACAACTAGATTTAGAGAATTACCAAGAAGATATCGAAGAGCGTGATTCCAAGATCGAAAGCCTTAAAAAACAAGTTCAAACTCTCAGAAACCAGCTTCAGTACGATCAAGACGTCCAATCAGACAACTCCAAGCAATTACAAGAGACTCAAATGACCCTTCTCCAAGAAAAACTACAAATGGCCAACGATGAATTAAGTCGCAAGCAAAAAGAAAGCCAAACATTACAAGAAAACCTTACCAAGTCAGAATCTATTATTGCTGATCTCCAAAAGAAGGTTGATGATCTACAAAACGAGCTTTCTGACCGCGATGATTTTATTTCTCAAACAAACGCCCAAACAGACGATCTCAAGAAGAAGAAAGACATTGCACGCGAAGCTCTTAAGACATTTGAAGCAGAATTAGCTTCATCACGTACCAGAATCCAAGAATTAGAATTACATCTTTCAATGTCCCAAGAAACCATCAAATCTCTTCAATCCAACAAAGGAATCGAAGATACACGCAACAAATACGTCGCCAGCTGCGATACAGTTGCCACGCAAGAAGCAAAACTTCTCAGGGAATCCCTTGAAAGTTTGGAAGAAGTTTTGAAGACACAAAGGCAAGAAATCACTTCCTTAACCAAGCAAAGGACGGAACTCATCTCCAGCCTCATTTCCGCAGGCCAAGCGATCGAAAAAGCTGAAAAATTAACATCCGAAAAGAACCAAATTATTTCGAACCTCAAAATGAATCTAAAAGAAGTTTCTCAAGACGACAGGCTTGCCAAAGAAAACGAAGAGTTCTCAGTAGCGTTCGATAACATCCTCGAACTAATTCCGACAGATTTGGTCGATTATGTCACTTCACTTCACACTTTTTCACCTCCAGAAATTCTGACAAAAGTGGTCGATGCTTTGGTCCATCATAAAAGTGACAGTTTACAAAACGATGATTCGAACTTAGAGCACAGGTATATCAGTATGTTATCGCACATGAAGAACCTGATAAACTTACTTAAGAAACTTACTAAAACAACTGGTCCAAGTACAGAAGAAAGACAGTTTATGTTGAGACAATGTGCAATTGTCGGAAGATATTTAGATGAAGAAAGTTATATGTTACCAAATGAAGAGTTCTCGAGATGCTCTTTATTCGATCCACATGAAGTTAATGATCCTGAAAAGATGTTGAAGATTTTCTTCGATTTCGTTGATGAAGATAAAATCGACCAAACTCCTTTCAGAGAACTTTTCACTTTGTTTAGCTGTTTGATACAAGTCAATGTTATGTTGATGAGCAGCTCTGATGAACTCAGAAAGGTAGCAGCAAAGTTCGCAGCTCAAAAGACATTTAACATGGAGTTGAAATCAAAGAACAAAGAACTGGAAGAGAAATTGGAAATTGCTGGCCAAGAAAGAATTCTTTTGACACCTGTTTTGTCAAAATTCCTCGCGAAAGTTCCACAAGAATTCGGAGATTTGGTTAGAGAATTCTGCGAAGTGATGAAGGACGGACCACTGTCAACAGCTGAAGGACAGAGATTGAAGAGCGAAATAGAAGAAGCCAAATTGGAATTAAAGAATACGAAACAGAAATATGAAGAAGAAATTGAAAAGTTACAAAAAGAAAAGAAAGAATTCTGTCAAAAAGCAATGGAAATCACTCAACAAACAGATAAAGAAATCCATCAAATGGCACAAGAATTCAATGCCCAAATCGATGAGATTTCTACACAATTGCAAAATGCTAAAACAGAAAGAGATACAATGATAAATGAACTCGAACAAACTAAAAAGAGACATAATGATGACATGGAAAATAAGAAACAAGAAATTGGAGAATTCCAACATAGATTGGATGATGCAATCTCAAGGATTAAAGCAACACAGAAAGAACTAGAAGACGCAAAAGTTGACGCAATTAAAGCAAGAAACGACAAAGAGACAATAACTAAAAACGCTCAACAAGACATTGCAAATTTGTATTCCCAGTTGCAAAAAGAAAAACAAAGAAAATTGAGATTGAAAGAAAAACTGCAAAACATCGAAGAAAACAACGTCAAAATCATAAACGACGTTCAACAAAGAGCTGATTCCCTTGCAAACCAGTACGGAACATCTTTGCAAAGACTGCAGGCTGAATTGGATTCAGAAAGAAGTAAAAATAAGGAATTGACAGAAAAAGTGACACAATTAAATCCAATAATTGAAGACAGCCTTAAACAATTATCTCAATCGAGAGCAGCCGAGAAGATGGCAAACTTGAGAGCAGAAGATAGCAAAGCAGCATTGGAACAGGAGAGAATTAACAACCAAGCGAAGATTAGAACAATTTTGTCAACAAATGAAGCGAAACACAAACAAATTGTTGATGAAATGAAGGCAAACTTCAATAAAGTGAAGATGGCCGTTGCACTCGTTACTTCCATTGACTACAACAAGTACAATGACAGAGAATTTGCTGAAAATTCCCAGAAAATTTTGTCAGAAACTTTCCAAAGCAGAGATTCAGTCATTGCAAGAGATGCTTTCAATTTGAGGAGATCTCTCGCATTGCCTGATGATGAGAACTTGTCTGACTTGTTCAAGGCAATGCAGAACGAGTTGTTCACTGCTGATGAAAGAGCTAAAAAGACTGAACAGAATTTGTCAGATTTGACAAAGAAATCCGATACAGTTTCGAGAGAAAACAAGAGATTGGAGAAGTCAAGAGAAGAACTACTTGAATGGATAAGATGGGGCAAATCTATATTCAGGCAGATCTCAGATGTTGACGTCGCAAGTACAGCAACTCCAAGCGAAATCAGATTTTTGCTTGAAGAAAGATTGTTGTCGTCATTTAATTACACGAATATCTGCAGGAAACTGGATTTGTTGAGGACACAGAAGAGTTTGTTAGCAAACGGAAAGACATTCTTGGCAACAAAGAATTCTCTTGTAAAATCAATAAGACCAATCATTGTTTCTACTGTTTTCTGCAGGATTTTGCAGGGAATGAGTTGCTGCGTTCCAGCTCAATTCTCTGTTCCAAAACCTGAGAAACCTGGAAAGAAGAGTGTAGTTCCTGTAGAGTAATATTAGATTTATTTTATGTTTATTTTTTATTTATTGTTTATGTTAGAAAATATTATCTTTTTAGAATATTTTTTTAAGATAATAAAAAACTCACTTTTATTTTATTTGCTTTTTATATTTCGAGAGTGTAGATTTATTGATAAATAAAGGTAACTAAACTCCTTTCGCCGATCCGATTTGCTCCATATTTAAAATATAGCTTGCATATGTAGAAGAAAAGCTAATTTTGAAGTACGCCCGAAATCCACCAACAGGATTTCGAGCTACTAAAAAGGTACTTTTAAATGTGATTTTTTTTTATAAATAATTAAATTTATTTTAAGATCAGACTAAAAACTAATTTTATGGAAAATCTATATCGACAAATTTATTACTTATTGGGTATATAGATTTTTTGATTATGGCGATTATGTCTGATATGCTTCCAATAAGCCAAAACACATTTCATACTGATTTCTATAAAAGGTATCTTTATTATAGAAGTGTAAGCTATATCTGTTTGTTTTTTTATTATAACAAATTCAAAATTCTCTTATAAGGACTAGATGAAATCTGTATTATTAAATCATTAGCTAAATGAAGGTTCAAATAGAAAGTAAATATCAATTTATATGATACTGAAACCAAATAGTTCTTTTAATAAAAGATAACACGCTGAAAATTATTGAGTATTTGCAAATCTCAAAAATCTATTGGTGAATTTGGCTCAACTTTTAAAATTATAACATCCATATCAAATCATAAAAGCAGACAAAAATTAAAGCCAAACCTATCGGCCAATTTTTTTTTGATATTTTGATTTTTGAGGTATACTTTTAAAAGTGGATTTAAAGCACTGATGAAAAAACATTAACTTCTGTCGTTATGATTATTGATTTAGACAATAATGATTTTAATCTTTGATTATCAAAACACTAAAGTCATTTTTTTAACATTTGCTTGGTAGCATTAACTCAAGTCTAAAGTACTATTTTATGTGGCACTCTTAGAATTTTTGTATTCATTGTACACGCTGAAATAGTACCATTAAAGTTATGGCGGACTTTCAAAAAATAGTTTGGTCACCATTTTTGAAATTTCATTTAGGATCGAAATAATATCACAAAATGGATGGACTCCACTCATTTTTGCATCATATTACTGTCATTTCGAGAGTGTAGATTTATTGATAAATTGCAATTCAAATATACATGCAAAGAATCATAATGGAGACATTCAACATGTATTGCATTATATAAAAATGATTTTCTTTAAACAAAAATCGTGATAAAATTTTTGATAACTGAATTTTTTTTGGAAAATTTAGAATCAATCCTAGTCAAAAAAATTTATAAGAAAATTTTATTTTGAAGATAGAATTCTACACTTAAGGATATTCATAATTTGAGGAAAATTTGAATATGTCAAAAATTGAAAATTTGAAAGATAAAAATTTGAGATGATACAGAAAATCAAGAAAATCATTTTTATATAATGCAACAAAAAGTAGTTGTATACATTACAGGAATCCATCCTACTGCAACAAGAAAATCTGTACACATGTATTGCAAGAAATTTACAGGAGAAATATCAAAAGTTGAAGTTTTCGCATCATCAGACGGAAGAAGGAAATGTGCAAATGTATCAGTTTTATCATATACTGGTGCATTTAACTTAATATACGGTATCAATTACACGAAAGTTGATGGTCAAGTTCTTTATGCAAACATTTGCGGTTATGATGTTATCAACATCCAAAATGAAGAATTGTTTTCTATTTTCATCTCAGGTGGTAATTTTACATCAGAAAGAGAATTATACGAGGAATTATCATTATTCGGTCAAGTTTTCAGAGTCAAACTCTTGAGAGGATGCGCAGTCGCTCAATTCTATAACGAAGAATCGATGAACAGAGCATTAAACGCGAGATATACTTGCAATGGTAAAATATCAAAGAAGACTTCTAAACAAAAATCTATTCCTCAAAAGATAGAGAAAGATGATACCTCAGTACATAGTAAAATATCAACACAAAGTAAAGTCTCATCAAAGTCAAGAACTTCTAAAATCTCAAATTCTAACGTTTCTTACATTTCAAGAGACAAAGTTGGAGTGTTCAATTTCGAAATTACACGCCAAAGCTCTACATCTGCTATGTAAACCTTGTTTGAATAAATATGTGTGTATATATTATATAAATAATAATAAATAAATTTTATTATAGAAATTAAATCCATAAAACTGTTTATCAAGACGAACGTAATTACTTGTGCAGTTGTGATCGTCGTCATAAAACTGTTAATACATCAATATCTAAAGAAATTGTATGAAATTCATAGTGAAACTACTTTATTTTCTAAAGTATTGAGCGTTGTCCTTCATTTTATGACGAAATTGACAATATATCATGCGTATTAAATATTTCATTTTGAATGAATATAGCATGATCTAAAACAACATGTTCAAGTTTTGTAATAAGCTTGAAAAAAAGTATGTGTGATAATTAAAAAACTAAAAAAAAACTTATGTTTTTTTATAAATTAGTTTTTTTAAGGCACTTTTAAAAAATGGGATTGCCAATGCCCAGTAAAAATGAAAAAGAAATAAAAGGAAAAGGATATGAAATCCTCAAATAACATCAAAAGTCTCAAAAAAAAATTCTTCGTCATTAAGAGTATTTTCGAATGAATTATCGAGAATGAAGTCGTCTTTGCAAAGATCAACATCCGCAATTTCTCCAAATGATTGTAGTTCATATTGTTGTTCTACTTCTTGTTTTTTGTTCTTGGACTATTAAAGGAGCAGGAAAATCAATAGGATGCATAGGAATATTCATAGGAGTAAATGATTCCAATGAGGGGTTATAGAATTTAGCTAAATCTGATGACATCTGTTTCTGTGTGCGTGGGTTTTTCTTACTTAGAATAAGTTTACCTTTGCTATTGCATTCGTATATAGTTTCGTTAGAACCTCCAAAGTCCCATGTGATACTTTTCATAATACGCTTAGCACTGCACATATGATGAAAAAAATGATTTTGTTTGACAAAACGATAGTCTGGATTTTTTAAAAATTTTCGAAAAATTTATCATACTTGTTACGATAGTATAAATAGTGATAATATAATATTAAAAAAAAGTGATGTTTTTTTTTTTGACTAGAATTTTTTCATGATAAATCAACAGCTAGTTGTATACTTAAACAATATTGAGAAAAATTTGACTAAAAAAAGCTTCAAATACATTCAAAAGTTTTGAGTGCTCATTGTATTATTTTATTCATGATTCGATCTTAAGATAATGATTATAGCACTTTATCAAATTTTAAATTTTTTTGAAAAATTTTTCTTGGCAGCTTGAAATTATATTTGATGTCTGCAACTAGCGTTTGTGGATCCCACCATCAAATTGAGATGAACATATTCGAGTTCATCATCAAGTTCAAAGTTTCGGAGAATAGTCTGAAACTTTGGCTTCGTTCACAGTTCAATGAACTTTTCGGAAGTCAAAACAAAGTTCCTAATTTAGACGAATATCCAGACCTTTATGTTATAGTCGAAGATGAATCATATGCATCTATTGACGTTACAAAATCTCAAATTTCCGAAGTTTGCGGATTTTGGGATTCAAATTTATACCCGAGAGTTGACGAATTTGCACACGACCTTATCGTTGACGCTCAATACTTATATAAAAGTTTATAAAAATCGATATCACGCACCTTGTGATATCAAAGCAAGGCAACCATATATGAGTTCATTGTTATCCTAATACTTGAACTCATTGCCTTTGCAATTTATTGGAGCTTGTGCTTCCATTTTGTTAAATGCACAAAAACAAAAAAAAAATTATTATATTAAAAAAAATGGGATAGTATATTATCCCAAATATTATTAGGCCCATATATGTATATCCAAAAGGCCAAAAAACAAAATAATTATAAAAAAAACAAAAGAAGAAAATTATATTCTTGTTTTATAGTAAATATTTGATATTTGAACAAATATTGAATTTTAAAGTCTTTTTACAATTCCCCATTACAATAAACATAAATACTTTCTCTCTATTTGTAGATTCTCAAATTATTCATACAGCTGCATATAAAAATAATAAAGAAATAACAATAGTTCTAATTTCACATGGAGCAAATATCAACGAAAAAGATAAATATGGAAATATTGCTCTTCATTATACAACAAGTAATAAAAGTAAGTAAACAGTTGAACTTCTTATTTCACAAGGTGAAAATATCAACGAAAAAGAAATACATGAAAAGCAGTTCTTCATTATGTAGCATTGCAAAAATAGTAAAGAAACAGTAGAACATCTCATTCCACGTTGTACAAAAATAACAACTTTTAGACGAGAATCACAACTGTACAAAAACAAAAATACTTTCGCGTTTGATAAGCAGTTTTATGCGAATAAGTGGAATGTCTCCATTATGATTCTTTGCATGTATATTTGAATTGCAATTTATCAATAAATCTACACTCTCGAAATGACAGTAATATGATGCAAAAATGAGTGGAGTCCATCCATTTTGTGATATTATTTCGATCCTAAATGAAATTTCAAAAATGGATATAAATTGTTCAAAACTAAGAATAGCATATAGTATGATAATTAATCTTTTGCAAAAATATTGTGAATAAGAAGCTTTATTTATCTATATTATATTTATAATTTACTTGCCCTGAGCAGCAGCCTCACGAGCCTTGTAATAAGCTGGTGGATGATTCCAGCGGTTGAAAACTGGAGTTTTTCCGAGTCTCTTGCAGAGGTCAATCAATCTTTGATGAGTTTGCTCGTTGTCCTCGTCTACTTCCTTCTTTCCTTCGTACAGCTGATATCCGCCTCTGAAAACCTTTGGAGTGATAATTGGCATGCAAACGTTGGATCCTCCCTGCAAAGCAATGAACTTTCCGCCTGGGAATAAAGTATCTAGTGCTGTTGTAGCGGCGATGTTGTTGAATGGGCATGCAAGACGTAATGTATCGTACATATTCAAAGTTGTTCGGACTTTTCTGGCGTCAAGCTCTTTTCGCTCATCTGCTGTTGTAGAAGCAAGGATTTCTTTGCCCATCTTTGTATCATTGTGGATCAAATATGGACCTAATCCGATCATTGGGTACTGACCATCACGGAAGAACTCAATATCACCGGCAAGGTCATCAAATGTTTGAGTAGGAACACCAACTAAACAGCCATTGCCTGTAACGTATCCGATCTTCTTGAGATTTTGAAGACACTCAACTCTCCTTGTCCAAGAATGATCTGCTGGGTGCATTGTTGCGTAAAGCTTGGGATTACTTGACTCAATGCGGAGCAAATATCGTTGAACACCCATATCGTAGAAACGCTTGTAATCTTTGTAATCCAATTCACCGATACTAAGAATGATGCACATGCCTGTGTCTTTATCCTTACCGTACTTGGCGAATATCTTATCCAAAAGAGAAGCAACCCAATCCATCCTTTGTCTCGATGTGATTTCTCCTGATTGAAGAACGAGATTTCGGTATCCTTTCTTCCACATAAAATCACAGCAGCCAAGAATAGCTTCATGAGGAATTAAGAATGGCTCATATGCGTTGACACCGCAGTAATGGCATCGCTTTTCGCAGGCATTTGAAAATTCGACAATTCCACGAACAGAAACTTCGTTGTGGAAGTTTCTCTTTGTGACTTCGCCAGCAGCTGTATGAAGTGCGTCTACTTCAGATTTTTCTCTTGCATTGAGCAATCTTACTATATGATCGTGCGATAATTTTTTGCCTGATATTGCTGTCTCGAGAGCTTCTGAAAATGATGGAAGTTCTCTCGCTGTTGGAACTAGAGTGTTATGCATATTTTTTTGAGATGAGTTTACAAAATAAATTGAATGAAAACATTCAATTTTTCTTGATTGACCCACTATAAATGCATCCATGGATTTTCCCATGCCATACACACTGCTGAGGTAATTTTTTCGCTAAAATAAAAAATAAACTTTTGCAGAAAAAAATCTTTCCCATCAAAATTCAATCAAATTCAATAGTATCAGTCTTAGATGTTGATGCATTTAATTTTTTATGCGGAAAAACGCAATGTTTTCGCATAGGATTCCATTTCCTTTGTCAAATTTATGATTTTATTTCAATTTCATATCTCTTACATTCATTACATACTTGAATCAATACTCTTATAGATGTCTATTGTTTTCAGCTAGATTTTAGGTTAAAATATTTTGTTTTTCTTGAGAATATTTTATATTTCGTTAAAGAAAGAACAATAACATGAAATAAGTATGTTTCTATCGCTAAATCAGGCACTCTAAGGGGCTATTCTATTCTCTTATTATGATTTTAAATTTTGGTGTAATGAAGATTAATTTATTTTTGAAAAACAGCTTTGTAGTTTTTAAATCGACATATATTGCATTCAACCAAACATCTAGTTTATTCAAACACTTAAAAATGATAGAAAGTCATAATAATAAAAAATTAAAAGGAAATAACAAAATTTCGATTATTTCTTAAAGCTAACATGTCTACGATAAGATCCTGGCGTTAAAGGAGTATCTTTCACCTGTTCCGATGCAACTTGAATCGGATTTATCTCTAACGGCGGATGATTTTCGTTGATTTGTATGAATTGATTGATTTTATCATATTCATCTTGTAGACCTCCGACTGCATCACGCATAATTTGTACAGCAGAAATAAGTTTCTTTAATTCATCCAATCCATCCACTTGAAGTTCTTCTAATTTAGTAACAATTGATGAATAATATTTTAATGTGAGTTCTGATTCAGTTTTATAAGTAGGAACCAATTCTTTATTGTACTTAACGTTCAAGTTTTCGATATCTTGGCTTAATTTCAATTTATCTGCCATCATTTTGGAATAATCAGCCCTAATTTGAGGCACTTCATTAAGAAGCCTTTCATATTCCATTTTTGCTTTTGTAATTGAAACATCTTCGATTTTTACTTCCTTTTTGTGTTCTAGATTTTCTTTTGCAGCTTTGTGCTCCCTGAGTTCTTCCACTACCCGGGACAAGTTTGCATTTTCATCTCTCAGGTTCTGGAGTTTGATATAAGGGTCTTCAGCCATCAGATAATTTTTTTACAATGTAATCGGCAAATGTACTTCACTTTGTTTTTAAGATAGATTTATTTTCATGTGATATCCAAAATTTTTGGATTAAAAATCAACAATATGAATAATGCGTTAATTTTTTTAATCCTTTAGTTGGAATGTAATTATATCATTAGTATACTGCATGGAAATCATTAGGCATATCGGGGATTTCCAAATACTAAATACGAAACAATAAAATTATTTATATGAACTTGAAGTGTATCACAAGTAACTTGAAGTATTTGCCATACTGAAAATAGTTCACCATTAATGAATTCTCAAATCGTATAAAGGATACAGTAAAATCTTACATTAACCAAATAAAAGTTCTATTATCCATGGAAGTTGGAATCGCTTGTGTTCAATATTGTCAAAAATTTCAATTACAAACACTCTATTTAATAATTTTATTATTACAAACAAACAAAAAAACATATATAATTTATTTTCTATGCTTATTATATTCTGCAGCAGACTTCGGGAATAAAGTGCTCATATTCTCTTTTGAAGGAGATTTATTAATCATCAAATCCAAATGATTTGATTTTGCAGAATAAAGATCAATGAAATCGAAACTTTGAGCTAAATTATTATTTCTTGATAAAGACATTCCTTGATCTCCTTGTGATATTTTTGTTTTCTTATGTTCTTTTTCTTTATCATCCTTCTTCTTTTTCTTTAATATTTCTGCTGGTCTTCTTATTGTTCCTGATCTGCATTTAGCAATTTTCTTTGAAGAATCTTTTGGTTTCTTATTATTTCCTTTCGATGGGCTCTGTTGTCTTCCATTTGCTGGATCTGATGATTCTTCAGGGGATTTCGGTTTCTTCACTGATTTCTTGCTCTTAGGTTTAGACTTCGATTTTGTGTTACTTTTCTTCTTTTTGACATCTTTTTTCTCATTTTCCATTGGAATTATCACTGCTTGTGAATCATTTGCGTCAATGCCTTGTATACCATCTAAAAGAGGAGATCTTGGTGATGGATTTAAAAGCAATGAATTGTTTCTCGATGGATAACTTCTGATTCCAGGAGATGGAGCAATTATTGAATCAGTGTTTTGAGGTGGAGAAGAATTAAGCAAAATAATTCTCGATGGAGATGATTTTATTCCTCCCCCTCCTTTAGGACTTTCGTTTGGAGGGAGGAAAGATATTTGTTTGGAAGGAGAAGGACGTATTCCACCTCCTCCATTTGAATTTCCTGGTATTTCTGGTGTCAAAAGGACAATTCTACCATTTGGAGTGATGTCATCTCTGAGAAGAGCGAATTGACGTGAAGGAGATGGTTTAATTCCTCCTCCTCCTTCAAGTAATAACTTCGATGGTGATGATCTGATTCCGTTTCCTTCTCCTAGTAATGTAATTCTTCCTGAAGGAGAACTGCGAATTCCATCTCCAAAGTTTTTGGAAGGAGAAGGTCGAATTCCATCTCCTAAAAGAGTGATTCTTCCTGAAGGAGAAGACCTTATTCCTCCTCCTCCATCTCCTAATAAAGCAATTCGTCCTGAAGGAGATGATTTGATTCCTCCTCCATCACCTAATAAAGCAATTCGTCCTGAAGGAGATGATTTGATTCCTCCTCCATCACCTAATAAAGCAATTCGTCCTGATGGAGAACTACGTATTCCATCACCTAACAAAGTGATTTTTCCTGATGGAGAAGATTTGATTCCTCCTCCATCTCCTAATAAAGCAATTCTTCCTGAAGGAGAAGATTTGATTCCGCCGCCTTCTCCTAATAAAGCGATTCGTCCTGAAGGGGAACTTCGTATTCCATCTCCCAATAAAGTAATTTTTCCTGAAGGAGAGCCACGAATTCCATTTCCGCCGCCAAGTAACGAAATTTTTCCTGAAGGAGAATTTCGGATTCCATTTCTGCCAAGTAAGGCGATTTTTCCGGATGGAGAGCTGCGAATTCCGGAGCCATCGCCTAAAAGAGTTATTTTACCAGACGGAGAACTGCGAATTCCTCCTCCGAGCTTTGAAGGAGACTTTTTAATTCCACCTCCTTGTGTGATTTCGTCAATTGTTGGGATTTTCCGACCGCTATCTGTAGTTGTCGGTTCTGCATCAGGATCTACTATTACAAAGTCAATTTGATCTGCAGCATCGTTGATATTAAATTCAATATCATTAAATTCTTCCATGTCATCGATTTCTTCGACATTGAATACCATATTCTCAACATTATCGATCTTAAACAGGTTTCCGCCTGCTTGGTCATAAGCTTCTGCGATTGATTCGTCATCAAGAGTTGCAACATCTCCAATGAGTTGATCGTAGTTTCCGAAATGAAAGTTCGCACCTTGAAGGTTCCTGCATTCAGAAATAACGAGGTTTTCTGTGGAAATATCAAGTCTTTGGAGGGCAAAAGTAACGGCTTTGCGAATCCAATCAGCGGATCGTCTGTCATTATGTCCGCCTGGTAGTTTTTCGAATTGTTTGATCTTGTTTTTTGTATTTTCATATAAAATTTCTGAATGATGGAACGGAATGAATTCATCGAATTCCGCGTGACCGTAAAGTATTGGAGGTGGGCTATTTTTAACTGAATTTAATGGAGAGACGTCGTCAAATTTTATATCCATAACTTGGCTGATTTTCTTTTGTAAATACCATATAGCTGTTGATGCAAATAGAGACGGAACTCCTTGTGCAATTGCAATGCATGTGCATAATTCTTTTAATGAAACAAAAGCTGAGTCTGCGATAACGCCTTTGATGCTTTTATTTTTAACCATTAGAGCTGTAGCAGCTCCCATGGATCTACCCCATAAAATAAATGGTCCGAGAGCAAATCTTTTTTGTAAATAGTTTACAACGTATTCGGTATCTCCGGTTTCGTTCATTCCTAGTGATATATACTCGCCTGAACTGCATCCACAACCAACAAAATCAAAGCAAAAAACAAAAACTTCGTGAGGGCAAATATTTGGTACTAAAAATTGACCTTCGAGTTGACTGCTTGCATTTCCATGCATGTAAATAACACATGATCCACCAGATGTTTCATCCATGAAGTTTTCTTTGTATAATGAGCCAACGATGGTTTCTTTTCGAGGTAATGTTATCGTAACTGGAATTCTTGTGTAATTACTCTTACCATCTTCTGATGGGATGGTTTTTGGCAATGAATCCAAGTCATATTCCTTTCGAGGAGGCCGTATAATTGCATTAACAGCCTGCTCAGTCAGGCTTTTTGTCATTGTGAATTTTTCCTCAATTCAATTCACGAATAATACTAATAATGTATCAATGAAAAAAATTTAAACAGAATAATCAATGGTTGATATTTAATAACGTTAGGAATTTTGAATGGTAAACGATGAGAATGATATTTTGAAAGTTTAAATTGTACAAACTTTGAAATCAAATGACATGGTGCATGTTAATTATTTTATTTTCTGATCAGAAGAATTCAATTAAAAATTGAAATCAAATATTTCTGAGGAAAGGTTCTTTACGAACCAGCGGAGCATTGATTCCTGACTCTATTGCATGATGGTTCATTGGTCGAGTTCGAAATGAAGTGGCAATGTCTAAATTTAGTGTAATTAATATCAACAAACCGTTTAGCCATTATCAATCCAATAAATGTCATTATGTTGAGAGAATTATTGATAAATCAGGCTTCAAAATTCAATCTTTGAATCTGAAATTTTGAAATGTTTAATAAAAAGCATCAATATTTCTATTTAATGTCTAAAAGTTAGTATGTTATTGATCTCTTAAAATAATCTTTCATAATTTAATGTTGAGAGAAATTATTGATTCGTAAATTTGCAAACTAATGCGCTCATATGTATGCACTAATAAATTGAAGCCACAATTGAAGATAGTATGACGTTCAAGTACAAAAGAAATTTTTTATCAAATAATCGAAAGTAGAATGATGAATTGTATAACCAAAAGTTTATATTTGACATATGCTGTTGATAAATGTAATATTTTGAGGCTAGTTGGGATCATTTAAGAATCCATAATCAACTAAGAAGAGAATCTGTCAATTTTTGTTATAAAAATGGGGTGTTGTAATTCTGCAGAAGAGCAGGCATTAGCACCTCAAAACCTCACAAGTACAGTTACTGTTTCAAACATACCAAACGAACAGATATATGAAAACAAGTTTGCTCCACAAGCAGAAGGTCATGATAAAGTTCCTTTGTTAAATGCGGTTTCTACACAAAATATAACATTCAGTGATGATACTGATTCATCATCAGTTGATCAAGATATGATTAAAAACCTTCTTGATCAAGTCAAATTATCTGATGACGATGATTATTGATTTTATTTATTATATTTAAGAATAAAATGTTCTTTAGGCTATAGAAAAATTACATGTGCATAGTTACGTTAATATTACTTAATATTAATTTACTTCAAAATATATTCCATTTAATTGATTGATCAATCCACATAAAAGATATATAAATAGTTTCCCTTAATTAAAATAGTGGATGATTTGTAAATTTTGATAGTAACTTCGACATTTCAGATGATATCATGGAAATTTTGAGCCTAATACTCTGAGGTTGTGGTTATTTTTATATGTGATATATGGTTTCATCCGATATATTTGATATCCATTAAAGGATAAAAAAGATTTTATTGAAATTTCGAAATCAACAAGATTGTTAGTGTCAAGAATGCCAATTTTAGTTTGTATATTATAATAACTGTTCAATTACTGTAAAACTGAAAGCGTTTTTATTTTGTAAAGCGGAATTCAAAACCGTTAAAATGAGCGCTTTGTCGATTCGCCAGGTCGCTCAACAAAAAATTACAAATAAACTAGTTAAAAGTGGGTTAATGCATGAAATGCAGGCGAGCTATATTGAAAAAGTTTGCTTAGCAGCACAAGAATCCGAACATCCTGCTTTTCAAGCTAATATTAGATTACCAAGCAACTCAGCTCAAGAAATTGCAAAAGAGATTGTTTTACAATTCTTACTTGAACACAAGATGGACCTTACAGAAAAATGCATAAATAGCGAATCAAAACAACAATTTTCTTCAAAACAAGATAAAAATACGTGTGCAAGACAGTTAAATATCAGAAATCCTACAAATGTTGTTCATGATCTCGTTGATAAATGGAAGAAATCAGGAAAAGCACTCAGTTTAAGGCCCTCTCCGGAAGAAAACAGTGCTATTCACACAATGATATCGGATACGCTTTCAAATGCCGAGCAACAAGCAGCTGTTGTCTCAAGAAATGCAAAAGTTCCCGAAGAAGACTTTACTATTGGCACAGGAAAGCCAACAACAGCTACAGGAAATACAGATGATCATGTTAGTCCATGGGTTATTCCTCCAAAGAAGCCACTTCGTTCGAAACCAAAAGAAATGCAATATTCACGTCCAACAGCTCTCGCAATGCAAGAACAAACGCTCACGAAGTACAACACAAATACAGCAGATAAATCTGCATCAACAACAGAAGATAACTTTACTCCAACACCACCAGAACCAATTATCAAGAGAAAAGTCAAGAAATCACGAGGAAAGAGAAGCAAGAAAGCTCAAGTTCAGCTTCCTGATGAAGGAGTTCAAGTTACTCTTACAAATGATGAAACTCCAGAACCAGAAAAAATATCAGTCAAAAATCACTCGTCTACAGAAACATACAACACAGAACAGACTCAACCTATCACGAATTACACATACACATACGATGAAATTACAATTCCTCGTCAAACAAACACAGGAGATTCACAAAATAATACAATTCCAACAACAGACACATTTGATCATCAGCTCGTAAAAGAAAAGCCACCGAGATCATCTACTGCTTCTAGAACATCTACAAGATCAGGTAAAAAGTCAATTGCCTCTCAGAAATCAACACAATCACGAAATTCATACGCATCCAAGCCATCAACGCATTCACGACATTCTACAGTAAGCATCGAAGGTGCTTCCACGCAAGAACGTGATGCAGAACCTGTTTCTCGTCAGTTAAATGCATCAAAAAGATCAAAGAAGTCGACAAACACAACTGGCGAGTATTCAACGACATCATCAACAAGGAAGAAAGTCCCTCCACCATCTCTTCCGCAGCCAGGAACTCAAACTGGCTCTTCTTCCCAAAATCAGAATTATTCCAACAACCAAAACCAGTCGTATTCCCAAAACTACTCCCAGGATACATTCAACAGACGAGCTAAAATCTCCCCGCTCGGCGAATTCTTAGGAGAACAAAACCAAGAGCCAAATAAAATCCTCTTACAAACCGATAACTCAACGCCTGGCGTTTCAATTAACGTGCTTTCTGCTGGAAAAAGTGACACGGCCAGTGCATCTAAGAAATCGACATCGACTAATCCACAGAGTCCAAAATCATATTCTGAACAGAGTTACACTGATTATGGCCTTAATTCTGATGAATTAGGAGATGTCCAAATGACATCTGATAAATTTAAGTCGGATGCGGTCAGTGATGAGAAGATGGCTAGCGATGAAAAGCTTTGGTCAAGGAGTCGTCAGTAATTTTTGAAATTATTAATTTTTTTTTGTTTTAATATTTGAATAAAATGGTATTGTAATTTATATCGTTAAATAGCATTCCATTTTCAAGAGTTCGTTACAGGAAATTGGATAAATCTTATCTGGCATTTGCCAAAAAGTGACAAAAATGCCAAAGAAACGGGAAAAAGTTTCAAAACCAAAAAAGGAAATTGTTGACCAAAATGAAGCGAAAGTAAATAGAATCGGCATAACATTTGCTATTTCGGCTCTTGTTATTTTTATTGGAGTTATTATTTCAAATTTCGATTTCAGATCTCTTTTCAAGACAGAGGAGATATTAGATTCGTCAGTAGTAGCAGACCAAGTATTCCAGAAAGCAATAAAAGCACTCCAAAATCCTAAAAATAGTGTAAATTTGGTGACTTCAATTATTGACGTCGGAAAAATGATCAATCAAACTATATATCACGAAAAAGTTTTGAGTTTACTTAAATCGACACAATTTGTGGAAAAAGCATGGTCAGCTATCAATTTAATTTCAAATGATTGCTATTTAGCTGACAACAGTCTTAAAGCATCTACGATTCTCTACATCCTGCATGATGCTGCTATTATAGGAGCGAATATTGATGTAGAACCACAAGTAATTTCAAAAGTTCTCCAAAATTGCGAGAAATTGGAAGATCCACCAAACGTTCTTCTTAAAACAATAGACATTATAGCTAAAAATAAGAAAGTTCCATCATCAATTATTCCTAGTTTGATGAAATATTCGGACTCACTTGGTTTTGGTCCATGGACTAAAACTATTGCTAGTATTATGTCTAATATTGATGTTGATTCTTCAAATGAAGCCTATTTTACCTCATTCCTTGATTTTTCATCGAAATCAAGAGAATCATGGGGAAAAGATTTTCAAAAGTATTATTGCAAGTTAGTTGGTCATTCTAAGTATACAAAATCTGGTGATATATGCACAGATAATCAATGATAATAAGAATAAAAACTTTGTAAATAAACCCATTTTCCTATTTAAAGTCTCCCTATCATTTTTCTGCCCCAATATTGAGTGAACCTGTATCAAAATATTGAAGCTCTCGAGACAGCAATGTCAGGCAAAAAAAAATATCTCACGATCATATAGTAAGATTGCTCAATGCAAGAGAAAAATCCGAAGTAGACGCACTTCATACAGCTGCTGGCGAAGTTACAAAGAGAAACTTCCACAACGAAGTTTCTGTTCGTGGAATTGTCGAATTTTCAAATGCCTGCGAAAAGCGATGCCATTACTGCGGTGTCAACGCATATGAGCCATTCTTAATTCCTCATGAAGCTATTCTTGGCTGCTGTGATTTTATGTGGAAGAAAGGATACCGAAATCTCGTTCTTCAATCAGGAGAAATCACATCGAGACAAAGGATGGATTGGGTTGCTTCTCTTTTGGATAAGATATTCGCCAAGTACGGCAAGTAAATTATAAATATAATATAGATAAATAAAGCTTCTTATTCATAATATTGTTACAAAAGATTAATTATCATACTATATGCGATTCTTTGTTTTGAACAATTTGGATCCATTTTTGAAATTTCATTTAGGATCGAAATAATATCACAAAATTGATGAACTCCACTCATTTTTGCATCATATTACTGTCATTTCGAGAGTGTAGATTTATTGATAAATTGCAATTCAAATATACATGCAAATTTGCATACAACTGTTTATCAAACGTGAAAATATTTATTTGTGCAGCTGTGATTCTCGTCTAAAAGTTGTTATTTTTGTACAACGTGGAATGAAATGTTCTACTATTTCTTTACTTTTATTATTTGGTGTATAATGATGCATTGTATTTCTATATTTTTCTTTTTCATTGACATTTGAACAATGTGAAATAAGAAATTTGCCTATTTCTATATTTATCTTTTTCATTGACATTTAGTTTTTAACGAAGTCAAATCTTAACTGAATTCTGTTTGATATGCTATTGACATTTGGACTATGTCATATAGAGAAATTTGCTTATTTCATATATATTTTAAACTACTGCTTCATGGAGAGAGGTTATTTCATTTATATATTATTTCAGTGCTTTTTGCATCATATGAAATCCGAATTTTCGAATTATATCTTCGAAGTAATATAAAAAGAAAGAGAAGTATCTGATACAGGGACATTAAATTATGCGCTATATGAAATAAGAAGTTCATCTGTTTCTTTATTATTATCAGCTGCCATATCGAGAGCAATTGTTGCATTTTTATCTTTTTCGTTGATGTTTGCATCATATGGAATAAGGAGCTTAACTATTTCTTTTCTATTTTTGCAATGTTACATAATGAAGAACTGCTTTTCATGTATATCTTTTTCGTTGATATTTTCACCTTGTGTAATAAGAAGTTCAACTGTTTACTTACTTTTATTACTTGTTGCATAATGAAGTGCCGTCTTTCCATATTTATTTTTTTCGTTGACGTTTGGACAATTGAAAATAAGAAGTTTAGCTACTTCTTTCCTATTATTCAATGCTGCAACATGAAGAACCGTTTTTTTTCCATCATGTAAACCTCGATGTCACTTTTGCGGCCTCGCTCCGCTCGGCCGCAAAAGTGACATCGAGGTTTATATGGATGGGTTCTATATATATACAGCTTGACCGGTAGAAAAGCGGATCGATTTTTATCAATAATTGGACATTCTATTTTTAATAAAATAAACATATATTTATATGGGAAATTAGGGAGATCTGAAACTCAAAAATTATTTTTGAATTTTAATATGATGAATGTAATTGTGATAATATGTACATTACAAATAAAATATTAATTCGGAACAACGATGAGATGTGATAAATTTGATTCTCTCAAAAATCAATTTTGGAGTTTTAATATTAATTTGTATCTTATATGCATATAGGATATATAATAATTTTAAAACATCAAAAAGTGACAATTTGCGGTTAGAAAAAGTCATCAAAACACTTTTTAATGATTTGATTTAACATATGCATAGACCATCTCTTTGATATTTAACTTCAATTTCCCGAAATGAAAAGGATTTGAACAAAAACAATTATTTTACGATCATTTTTTGTAAATTTTTTAAATTGAGACTGACATCTCTAAAATCATCTAAAAAATCCAAATATCAAATAAAATAATATCATTAAAATTCCTCTCAATTTAAAAAATTTTTATAAATTGAGACTTCAATCTCTAAAATCTTCTAAAAAATCCATATATCACAAAAAATCACGATATTATTTTTATTCTCAATTTCAAAAATTTTTTTTGTACTGACTTTCTTTTTCCATAACAGCATGGCAGAAATTTGAAACGAAGTTTCAAATTTCTCAATCTTGCATTCTGGGCACGTAAGTGCCCAGAATGCTAAAAGGCGCGTAGCGCCGTCTCTGAATATCAAATTTATTATAATTATTAATTTATGAAATTTCAAATAAAATCGATCTGTTATAACACACTGGTGCATGACAGCCTTGTCATTCATCTATCGGCGCGCGGAGCGCGCCGATAGATGATATATATATATAGAAGATTAATCGACATTTTTTCACAAGTAGTGTAACAATCAAAAACCATTTTTAAATATCTATTTTTTAAGACTTAGTTTTGATAGTTTTCACTCAAAAATTTTCATCATATTTAAAATAATATCATATTATTAATCTGAGCTATTTGATTGGCGCTTTGCGCTAATCAAATAGCGAAGATAATAACTTTTCAAATTATTTAATAATTTTTTATTATCAAAAGTCAAAATAAATCTGATGCTATTATGCTATATCTGATTGCAAATCGTAATTCGTTGAAATAAGTTTGCCGAACAAACAACCAAAGTTGTTCTCAAAGTATAATTAGCGGCGTGAAGCACCGCTTCCCAAACGATAGGCAAAGAGTTTTTGAAAAATTGAGAGAAATATTGTTTTTTCATGACACATTTTCATCTTTTCTTAACCAGACTTTCCGCACAAACTTCTAATGTATCACATTGATCTAATGCCTCATTGGTGTTCCATCATACCTTAAATGATTCACAATATGCCCATTTGGTTACAGATGAATTTTGAAAATTCTAAAATTCTAGATTTCCCTCTATAACAAGTTCTTTGTCATCGCATGCCTAATTAATCTTTAACTTTAGAGCTCCTCAATATCCTTACAAATTACATAATTTCCGAAATACTTTCTCAACAAATATCTATGATCGCATAGATATCAGATTACAATAAGACTATTAATGTTTCAAATACATTACAACCGTTTACTATAGCTAAGACATTTTCTTCATTTATGAACATGACTTCAGCTCTAATTTTGCCATGTAACAAACTGATGTAATATCTCATCGAAGTGTATTCATTTCACAACAAATTCTTAATAAATGCTTTGCTTTCAATATTTCTTTCGAAAAATCTCTAAAATCTCAAAGTGTTCTCTAAACCACTTCGATGGATATAAAAATCTCTCATATGTTTTACATAATAATCTTTGAAATATAATATTAATCGCACAAATTCAAATTTAATTGTATAAACTCATTTCCTATAATCATAATATATTTATTTTGCCGAAGTTGGCTGGGCTTGCCCGAAGGGCAAACCTGGCCAACTGAGGCCCGAAATTATATTATATCAAATTTGATTTTTTTGCCTAAAGAATTGTTGCAACTATATACATCCACGCTACATATCATTAAACTTTTTTTATTTCACTCTGACAAAAAGCTTCATGACATGCTTGTTTTTCATGTATATCTTTTTCATTGATATTTGAGCCTAACGAAGTAAGAAGTTCATCCCTTTCTTTACTATTACAAATTGATGCATAATGAAGAGCAATATTTCCATATTTGTCTTTTTCGTTGATATTTGCTCCATGTGAAATTAGAACTATTGTTATTTCTTTATTCTTTTTATATGTAGTAGTATGAAGAATTTGAGAATCTACAAATAGAGAGAAAGTATTTATGTTTATTGTAAGGTCCTTTTTTCATTTAAGGTACCCTATTCAAAAAATGAAAGGGGTCCCTCACAAAATTGAAGGGGTACCATTCAAATTCTATCGAAATAGTACCTTAATTAAAAAAGCTCTCAACCGGTACCATTCAAATTCCCTCAAAAATATTGAAAAGAGTTTAGGTATGCTGCTAGTATAGTTAGTAGCATCATACAGAATGCATAGACAAATTTTTTACTAATTATTTTTTCTTAGCAATTCAAATTCGAGATCGCTTAACTATGCTTAGAATCATAAGCATAATAATTTTGCAAAAGGTATGGGAATAATTTGAAAATTAATTTCAAAATTATTAATACTAGTGCAAGCTAGTGTAAGCATGTAAATGCATATTTGTGCACTGATTCGATACTCTTTTTTGGAAATTGTACTTTATCTTAAATTTCGAATGCAAATTTTTTGAATATGTGTATTGAAACTGTAACCTTTTGTCTAAGTTGCATTCTAATATAGCTCGAATTCTAAAAATGGGACTTTACTCCTCTTTCTTTGAGAAAATTTTAGACAATAGCCAAATTGCTAATTTTGTTGGAGTAATACCTGCATTGGGAGGTATAATATATTGTTCAGGGTTGAAACAAGGAGGTAGTTAGTGATAAAGCATAGTTACCACATGAAATGCAGTAAAATTTTGAGTCTAAACGTCTTTTAAACCATCAAGTATAAATTATAGAAAAAGATACTTTATATATAGTTAAAATAAAAATGATTAGAAAATAGCGTTTTTGATCAAAATTTCAAATTTTTATTTCCGAATATCTCTATTTGTGTCTAATTAGAGACATTTCTATAATTTTAGTGCGCAGCATATGCAATTCCTCTTTGGTTATTGCATTAATTTCTCAAAAAGAAAAAAGTCTTCAATAATTTTTTCAACAATACAGTACTAAAGCTAAGAACTTCTAAACACATGAAAAGTTATATCATTCTCGTTAATATGTAGATTATCAATGAAAAGAATATTGTGAAATTTGAATATTTTTTAAAATAGAATGTAGAAATACTTATCAATGCTTAAAATAGAGATATGTGAGAGCTAGATCCGTATTTATTTACGTTTTCGTGCATATTTTGAATATCAAATTAAATTAATTTTGAAGATTTTAGCATCTAAAAGTATTTAATGCCCCTATACAAGCAAGGTAATTCTTACATGTCTTAGTAAGTCCAAACTTAATGTTTTATGATATGGGCCTGACCTCTCCATATGGTGACGATAGAAATTGAATAGGGTACCTAAATAAAAAAAAGGAGTTTAATTGGGAATTGTAAAAAGACTTTAAAATTCAATATTTGTTCAAATATCAAATATTTACTATAAAAAAAGAATATAATTTTTGTTCTTCTTCTTCTTCTTTTGTTTTTTTATAATTATTTTGTTTTTATGGCCTTTTGGATATATATATATGGGCCTAATAATATTTGGGATAATATACTATCCCATTTTTTTTAATATAATAATTTTTTGTTTTGTTTTCGTGCATTTAACAAAATGGAAGCACAAGCTCCAATAAATTGCAAAGGCAATGAGTTCAAGTATTAGGATAACAATGAACTCATATATGGTTGCCTTGCTTTGATATCACAAGGTGCGTGATATCGATTTTTATAAACTTTTATATAAGTATTGAGCGTCAACGATAAGGTCGTGTGCAAATTCGTCAACTCTCGGGTATAAATTTGAATCCCAAAATCCGCAAACTTCGGAAATTTGAGATTTTGTAACGTCAATAGATGCATATGATTCATCTTCGACTATAACATAAAGGTCTGGATATTCGTCTAAATTAGGAACTTTGTTTTGACTTCCGAAAAGTTCATTGAACTGTGAACGAAGCCAAAGTTTCAGACTATTCTCCGAAACTTTGAACTTGATGATGAACTCGAATATGTTCATCTCAATTTGATGGTGGGATCCACAAACGCTAGTTGCAGACATCAAATATAATTTCAAGCTGCCAAGAAAAATTTTTCAAAAAATTTAAAATTTGATAAAGTGCTATAATCATTATCTTAAGATCGAATCATTAATAAAATAATACAATGAGCACTCAAAACTTTTGAATGTATTTGAAACTTTTTTTAGTCAAATTTTTCTCAATATTGTTTAAGTATACAACTAGCTGTTGATTTATCATGAAAAAATTCTAGTCAAAAAAAAACATCACTTTTTTTTTAATATTATATTATCACTATTTATACTATCGTAACAAGTATGATAAATTTTTCGAAAATTTTTAAAAAATCCAGACTATCGTTTTGTCAAACAAAATCATTTTTTTCATCATATGTGCAGTGCTAAGCGTATTATGAAAAGTATCACATGGGACTTTGGAGGTTCTAACGAAACTATATACGAATGCAATAGCAAAGGTAAACTTATTCTAAGTAAGAAAAACCCACGCACACAGAAACAGATGTCATCAGATTTAGCTAAATTCTATAACCCTTCATTGGAATCATTTACTCCTATGAATATTCCTATGCATCCTATTGATTTTCCTGCTCCTTTAATAGTCC